ATATAAATAAATATATAATACTGAATATAAAAAATATCTGTCTGGACTGCAGTGAACGAGCTCAGCTTTAAGGAATGGCTGAGCACCACCAAGAGGTTAGTGCAGGCACCTTGGGCTGCAGCTCTACAAGCTGCTCAGGTGAACAGCTCTGCATTGAGATGGCCAAAGCTGGAGCCTTTCTGTGGCTACAGCAGTATGGTCTGCTCTGTCAGTGAGGAATGATCTGCTAGAGCACCTTTTTAGCAATTGGCTTCTGGAGATAAACATTGCTCCAGCACGACATGTCCACATCAGAAGAGAAGCTTGTCTGGCTTCTTCAGGAGAAGCCTGCCTGGACACTTGCCAGACACCACATCCCATATTCTCTGATCCAGCAGAGACACTCAAGAACATGCCTAACTTTAAGCATGTGAGTGGCCCTATGGACATCAATGGAGTTGCTAATGTGCCTAAAGTTAAATATGTATTGAGTGCTGTGCTGGAATGGGACCAAGGACTCAGAAACTTGCAGGATCAAGGTTTGGCCAAAGAACAGAGAGTACAAAGGGAGACAAAAGCTGAGAGATACTGAGTTGCTCTCATGCCCTCTTGCGTCAGTCCTTCAGTGAAGGAAAGCCTGGAATAAACCCTTTAAGGTAGTAAAAGGAATACCTGTGCAGAAAACCAAAACACTGAAACTCATTTTTCAGCACACTTTTTTTGCTTTTTAGATGGCATTACATTTTAAAGCAGATATTGTGATGTCACTGGAGGAAAACATCGCAAAAACATTGCAGCAACAGGATTTCTTTCAACAGAGTTGGTTGACTCACTCTCACAGCTGCAGCAAAGTAGTCCAATGTGTTTCTGGAGAGCATTTTTGCTTGTGAAGTCTTTATTGGGACACTCTGACTGCAGGGAAATGCAGCCGCTTTTCATTTCTTGTGGCAGTCAGAAAGTTTCATTGAATATTTCTGAGCTCTCAGTCTCTTCCAAAACACATGCTGAATTTCCTGGCTCTCTTCCTTAAAATCTGGTCTGGGTTTCTACCCCTGTCACCTCTCAAATTACTTGGTGTGCACATATACTAAAAAAATAAAATAAAACAAAAATTATTACTTTTTCAATATTGATTTTGGTTTTTTTCAAACTTTGTGAATTTTTATGTGCACTCATTTTTATATTTAAATTATCTGTATTCTGAATTTATCACTAGAATACAGCAAAGCTGAAAGATTTGTCCTTTTGCTATTAGTAATGCAACACTGCCAACTAGAGGCACTGGTGATGATCAAACTTTTGTAGTGTGGACTACATGGATAAATTTAAATAGATTGCATACCTATAAATATTAAAACATGATATTTACACTAGAGGAATCCCACCCAAGTCCTTAAACTACAGTTGTACTTACATATAATTTCCTTCAATATGTCATTTATTGAATCCAAGCTCCATTTGACATCATCCAGAAACTCAAATAAAAGCAAGGCAGATATCAAATTACTTTGAGTTCCTCAAAGAGTTATGGAGCCATTTTAACAGCTTTTGGAAATACATCTCCACAAGACATTGCGAGTATTAAAAAAAAAACAATTAAATTGCAACTTCCACAGCTAACTAAATTCTAGCTATTTTCTCAACTCATGTCAATAAGGTTTCATAATTTATTATTTCTAAAGAAATCATAGTCTATTCAGGTGGTCTAAACCACAATTTTTTCAGCTCTGTGCCCGGCCGCGCCCAGGATGTCAGGCTCATCAGCCCACAGCCGGGCAGTGCACGCAGCAAGGGAGAGCTGGAGCGGAGGACAGGGACCTCCTGCAGGTCCTCATGCCAGCCCAGGTCCAGCAAAGCCTGGGGAAGGAGCCAGGGCATGGGGTGTGCTGTACCCCCTCCCGGGCTGCACAGCAGCTCAGGAGGCCAGAGCAGCTTCCCAGGCCTCCTCTGGCATGGCTGGAACCACACTGTAAGAGAAAGAAGAGAATTCTAGTCCTGCTTGCCAGAGCTCTCACAGCATTAAATAAACAGTCCCGAACACTTTGTACTTTTGGACTAAAGGAAGGAGCCAACAACATCTAGAGCTGGTTTCATTTTATTTACCAAAACACGTTTATTCCGTAAAGCTCAGCAAAATCCATGAAAAATAATAAATTACTTTTTTTCCCTTACAGCCTTCAAAGCTTTGTATCTATAAAAAGTTCTGGGAAATCCGAGAAGCCTAAAGGGCAGGAAAATAATCTTGTGGAGAAGTGGGAGCCAGTAGACTGTAGTGACTCACAGAGGCACAGAGCTGCAGAGCATCTGAGAGCAAGGTGTCAGTGGAGCCTGGACCAAGTTTTCTAGGGGCTGTACCACAGGGCAATTTAAAGATGAGGGGCCAGCTTCCAAAAAATGCAGAGAAAACCTTGGAGGGGTTGGAGGTGACAGTACTGGAATAAGTTGAAGGCTTAAAAGTGAAAACATGGACATTGGCCTGGAAAACAGAAAACACTCTTTGCAGCCAATACAAACCACTACAAAAAGTAATTCAATACATGCTTCTCCAGTTATATTATTATGCTTATGTTCCATAACAATGTCTTTACAGCAATGCAAATCTAAAAAGGTGCAATGGTTGAGCAAAAGCAAACACCTGGTTTGCAGATAACACTGAAGCAATTTGTTCACTTGAGCAGTACCTAGAGCTCTGCTTTTAGGGAAGGGGGTAGGGGGAAAGTACATCTGCTGTGAATCAGTTACTTGTACCAGAAGAACTATCTCCACAATTATGACTATTTGAAAGACACACACATAGAAACAAACCACCATGTCATATCTAGATTTCTTTAAATTACATTATTGAAATTACCCAAAAATTGATTTTTGGCTGTCAGTCAAGACATAAGCCAAATGGACATTTGCAGGGGTTTTACACTTCTTATTATTTTTATTGTTTGACAGTGAAAGCTAATGCTCAGCACTCTAAGCCCCAAGAGTAGTTTCTGCTCTGATACCATGTGCTGCTTGAATGTGCACTGAGGTCCAGACTCAGTCTACACCAAATACCTGTGTTAGAGGCCAGAAGTACCTCCCATCCATGAAAATATGTTCTGTGAAGTTTCCCCATATTGTTTACTGTAAAATTTGTTTGGGCATTTGTGATGGTGCATCTCCCCACTCCAGGCCACACTATGACCTCTCTTTGTGATCTCCTAATTAATTTTGTATTGATTTGTAGAGGCACATTGATCACATGTAAAAGTCTTTGGCAGAATTACCAATAGAGGTTGCAGGAATGGTGCCAAATTGCAGCTGTCACAGGAGCTGTGATCTCATCCCTTGCCCCACAGGAGTTATGACAGGGTTGGACAGAGTAAGAACTTCATCAGCAACCTAATTTGTGCAGCATTCTGTAAAGTAAAATTTAAAAGTCAGCCTCACTTTTCATAAATAGGCTACACATATGAATACTTACCTAGATCTGCTGCAGCATGACTCACACAAAAGCAGGAGCTTGAGAGTCCACGTGCCAGTTATTCTGCAACACCTTTCTCTCTCTAGAAGTCTTTTTCACATGCTTTATTGCTGCCTTGTTTTAGATAGCTATTACATCTCCTAATTTTGACTTAGATATAACGATGCATACACAGTTAACACATAGTTGTATCTCCAAAATTAATCTTTAGAGTGGAAGAAAAAAGGGAAAGACTTTCCACCACCATTGCCTGAGACTAAGCTGGTCGAGTTCAATGAGTGGGAGCACACTGGTTCAATGAGTGAGTGCAGAAGCATGTGCTCTACATTGCAGAGATTGAATTGAATATTTGGCAGGTAACTGCTGCTGCCCAGGTTGGTGGTTTGACAGCCAGGTAGCACAGATTGTGCCTGGGATGGAGCTCTGGCTTCACACTCTGTTCATGTGTGGATGCTGAACAGAGGAAACCAAGGACAGGCTGCTGATCAGATCCACTTAGCAAGCAGTGACTGAATAGCAATGCTGAAGGTATCCAGCTTGGATTTATAAATTATTACAGTTATTTTCTTTCAGCATTAAACCTTAGCAATGTCTTTTTGACCTGAGCTGACAATATCTCTAGCAAAATTGACAAAGCTGAAATTCTGGCCTTCAAATATAGAGACAAATTGCTGAACACGATCCTGCTAAAGGAAACTTTTGGGGGTAGCTCAGCACTAATTTCAGTCTATTTGATTGAATATCTACCCTTTACACCTTAAAATAATAAACCTGTGCTATTAAAAATGCAATACCTGGGAAATTAAGAACACAATATCTCAAAATTATTTCCATAATTTTGGAAAAATTCAATATTTCTAAGAACAGTAACCATACAGTCCATATAAACAAATGCATGGGAGAAGAAACAAAAGAGGATTGCTTCAGATTCACCTGCAAAATCTATTGAAGGAGGAGGAAAAGGGTCATCCAGTTAATTCCTTCTTTATGCAAAGGTGATGAATACAGGTGCTTATATTCATCAAGTTCAGTAAAATTATATCAAGCATCATGTCCAAAAGAACAGATATTTTTAAACTACAGCTCTCAGGAGCAATAATCAGATGGTTTAAACCATAGTTTTTAAATAAATAATTTTATTTCCCTCTCAAAAAAAAAAAGAGTTTGTTTTATTTGTTAATTACACTCCTCTACACAAAGTAACCCTTGTGTCTTCCTACTAGGTTCATTCCTATCTTCAAGCACCAGTGAACTCCGCCATTCTCTGGGAACAAAAGCACCTCCAGTTCCAGCTTTCATTGGTGGTTTCTTTTTTCACTGGACATAAGCCACATTCAGACTGCTGGGGGGGTGTTACCAGACACACACAAACCACTATTTATTTCCAATCCTCTTACAAGACACCTGATACAAGCCAAGATGAAGAGAAATGCAAGGATTCAGTGTATAAGCATGGGAACTTGCAAGAGCGAAAGTTGGAGGCAAGGCAGAAAAGCCAGGGGGAGGGTGGAAACACATTATTTTGGTTTTCAGCTCAAAGGTTCCTCTCATTTTTTCCCAGGTGAATGTGCTGCTGCTGCTACACAGAGACCTGGGCAGCTCAGGTGTTCTGTGCTTAAATCACTGATTTTAAACTAACAAATTCCAGGAAAAGGACCTTCAGTCAGGAGAACTGGTCGCTGCTGGTGAGCAAGTATTTCTCATTCTTAAGTATCCTTTAGGAAAGCAACAAGGTTTTGTTCACAAATGCCTTACAAGCCTAGTTATACAAAAAGACAAATGATAGATGCATAGAGATTAGCTAGTAAATGTTTGTTCTGGCAGGGAATTGAAGGCAACCTATGTGGTGTTGGCTGTCCTTTTTATATCTGAATCAATTAAATAACATTGGAACATACGGCATCAAAAATATGAAATATTAAATTTAAACTGCCTACAGTTACAGTTCCAAAGCCCTCCTAATTTTCAATAGGATAATAAATTATTAAGCTTCGGATGATTTTACTGTGATTTAAAGAAATTAATGCTCTGATTTTTTATTCATACATTGTGAAAGACTACTTCTTACTACAAAATTACAATTTTTTCCTAGCTTTTGCATATTTAAATGTACAACTATTTCTCCAGCCAGTCAAATACAATTAATTTCTCTGAGATTGCCAGTTATTAGAAATAGAGTTTTAATTTATTCACAAGAAATTTAACTGCTAACAGTAATTCTGTGATGCAAGGAGATTCATTAAAACAATACTTTTCATGCCTCTTGGTCTTAAAAAGTATGAAGCATTTTCTTTTGCCAGTGCTCAGGGTTGCAGTTCCATACTAACATAAATTTTAAATACAAGTTAGAGATTTTCTTTATCAGTAGAGGCACAAATGTCTTGGGAGATATTTTTTTTTTGGCACTGCGGGGGTGGAGGGTCATTGTTATTTTGGTCATTTGGTTTGGGGGTTTTTTATTCAAGTCAAAGTAATTTCCTAGTGGAGCATCCTGGTAGCTCCTAAAGCTCAGCCTCTGAAAAGTGGAATCCCCAGTAAGATGACTGAGTGGTACCCTGGCCTACATTTTTAACTCAGTTGAAACAATCTGTTATCCACCTGAATATCAGATCTTTAATGCCTAGAAGTGATGGTACTGGAAGAAAGTAAATGTACCAATTCAAAACTATTTGGCTTTGTAATGCTTTTTCTCAACTCTTGCTTTTGTTCTCTGACTTTTATCAAGGTAAGAAGTTACTGAATTTCTTATGATGATCTCGGTCAGGAAGAGAATGATGAACTAGCCAGAAACACAGATGAATTGTTTTATTCAGAAGGAGTTGAGCTGAAATTCAGTGTAAAAGATGCAATGAAGAATGGGACATTTTTTAAGTGGAAACTGAAAAAATTACTGCAATGTCAACGTTTTGGAAGGATATGCCAATCTAAAGAGTATTATACTTGTGGGAAATTCTTGGTAATCTTCCTACTTAATTAAGAAGGATATTATGAGACATCTTTTGACAAAAAAGCTCCAATGTAAAGAGAAATAAAAATCTCGTGCTGTTACATTTCACTGAAATTAAAAAACCTGGAGCAGTGTCTTGAAATTGTTGTGATCCAATATTATAACGTTGTACTAATTCATGAGAATCACATGAGAACTGTATCCTGCAGCCTCATTTTAACTCATTTTACTGCATTGAACAGTAAAATTAAGCACCTCCAGTTTGCATTTTCCTCACAAAGGCAGGGATTTCTGGAAAAAACACAAGTGTCTCTGAAGTACAGATTGTTAGAATGCCACTAACATATTGATCTACACTGCACCAAGTGATAAATCCATGTGACTAAAGCTGTTTCTTTGTTTTCCAGTTTCCTTGCATTGGAAGGGAAATAATGCTCCATTCTACACTGGCCTTGTCCCTCCTGCTAATTGCAGTCAATTCCAACCTTGCAATGGCAATTAAAAAGGAAAAACGAGCACCACAGACACTGTCAAGAGGTACTGTATGTTCACTGAATATCGTTATCTCCTTACCTCACCATATAGACCACCAAATATGTTTATTTTGAATGTACATTTACAGAATGTGTATCTATATATATGAACACACATATATATTTATAAAACATACATAGAATGCACATATATACTTACTGAGGTTTGTTTTCCTTAGTGCTAAGTGATGCTCTAATTAATATTAATTAATAAGTTCTCATTTCACATCATTTGACTTCATCAGTTTATTAAGCATATGACTGAGGGCCTCATGTAACCTGAATATTTTATATAACTCACAGTGATCTAACAGAAGCAAATAACCTAAACTGAGTCTCTCAAATCAAGATGTATCTGTAGGACTATCAGTGAAAAAATATTCTTTCATGCACCATTTGAAATATATTTTATTGTTGTACCTGACATAACATCAGTTGCTATAGAACAAATTTTCTACAGACTCATTTTTGTATATAGAACAGTTTGAACCATTGGTGGGGTTTCCTGCATGACTTTTTTTTTTTTTTGCTTTTCATCACATATCCACTGCAAAGCATGACTGTGTATAATTCACTTCCCTATGGTGCATAATTTTCAACGTGAATGTTAAATAAAGACCCTGTTTTTAATTTATTTATATCTAATCAATCCTTAGAAATACAAGCAGAAAAAATATCTTAGCAACCTCTTTTTCCCTTTTTCCCTCCCACATCTTTCTCCTCCTTTTGGGACTATTCAAAAAAAAAAAAAAAAAAAAAAGTCTTCATCTGTCTTCCTAACCTCTTCTGCAGGCCATGTAATGCCTGCAGATCCCACTCAGGATCTGAGTTTTCCCTATCCTGGCAAAGTTGCACATCTCTCAGACATTCCATCTGAGCCTAATTTCTCAGAGACCATTTGACAAAATCATGCACCACCTGGACTAGCCTAAGAGAAATTTCAAAAATTTTTGCAAGCAGTGTCCCTGGGGAAAGGTTATTATCAGTCTAGGATGTATCGCCTAGTTTACCTAGATCAGGATTTATTTTTTTCCCAGTAAGCCTAAATGGAAAAAAAAAGATAACAAAATCTTTTACATACTGTCAGATTTGGAAAAAAAAAAAAATGAAAAAAAAACAAACAAACAAAAAAAAAAGAAACAAGCAAACTACAAAGTAGTCACAGAAAACAGATGTAACTTTGTAACTTTTCAAATTCTGATTTCAGGCCTATTGGGATGCCTTGAGCACTTTACCTGTAATTTTCACAGACCAAGGGGAAATGGTTAAATGTGCTGCAAAATGTCCCCAGAATGCTGACTCCTGTGTGCAGTTACCTGCAGCAGGAGCTGACAGCAGCCAGGGTTGGGAAGGCACTGGTCAGCACCAGCCAGACAGACCTGTGTACTGAAAGAAGACATGATCCAGAAGCATCACAAGCAATTATCCTGTGACAAATCCAACAGCAAATCTGGGCTGGTCCAAGCACTGCCCAGAGAGCAGAGAAAAATCAAGGCTTTAACCTGGTCCAGGTCCAGAAATTGAGATATGAGAATGAGAATTGTAGAACACTTGTCATGAATGGAGCCACACTGCCTAGGATGCAGGGATCTACTATGCAAGGGCTGCCATCCTTGGGAACTGAAGGCATAAAACCAAGTGGACAATTTGATTTTTGAGATCTGCATATTCCCAGCTATGGATAAGCTATGGAGCTAATGTTTGTTAGGATTTTGTTTCAGTGGAGATTTTTATTTAACAGCCATTTCTTTATTGAATTATTTAATTAAATGAAGGGCTTTCAGCTTCAGGGATTGAAGTTACTTGGGAGTTAAATGTATATTCCAAGACTGTTCTAATGACATTCATATTAAAGCTCATCTTATTTGAGCTGTCATATTTTATTTTTTTCTCGTTATATGCCAGCTTCTCTTTAAGTCCCAGGGTTTACATTAAATACTGAGCAGACAGTATGAAGATAGAGATTACTTGGGTGCTGATTTAGTGACCTCAACCTCGAGCATTTAGAAAGATAACTAAAAAGTCTGTCAAAGGACTTAAACTGGATATGCAACCAGCTGAGATTTTTTTGTGGGCTTGGGTTGGTTGGTTGAAGTTTTTTAACCTTAGTGTATCTATCAGGAGATGTGAAATTAGCATATCCACAATGTTAGAAAACCTTTGACTAAAAACCCCAAATCTTACTTACATACAAGAGTTAATACACCTAAACAAATAAAAAAAAAAAAAAAAAAGAGAAAAAAAGGAATTTGTTCTGAGTTACTTGCTTGGCCAGCAGCTAGTCCTTTTGTTTTTTTTCTAGGGTGGGGAGATGAAATTACCTGGGTACAAACTTATGAAGAAGGGCTTTATCAAGCAAAAAAAAGGTAAGATTAAAAAGTAGTATGAAAACAAAGTTGTTATTCCATCTTGCTGGAATACACAATAATGAGACAGAACAAAGAAACACCATGAGAGCTGATCTGTAGACCACCCAGTTAAATAAACAGACTGTTTATAAACAACAGGACTTCTAGGACTCATGACTGTGAAGTAACATCATAGGCCAATAATGTAATGCTGTCATTTCTTTGCCACAAAGGAGGTGTTATCATTTAAATTATCAATCATAAATAGATACCATAATTTTTTAAACTATATCTATTGTGTTTTAATATAATGTACTTCTGATTACTTCCTTGAACTCTGTTACATTTACTCTTGCATGGTAATCTACTGCCTTTGATGTTTCCCCCGTTGTGGGATGAGTATTCTCTCTATCCTCTGCAACACCCCAATACTTTATTAGTTGGAATATGTTCATGATGTATTTTCTCACTGTCTCTATAGAAATGGAAGTTCCAAGCTCAGTCTTCTCTGAGACTCAGCTGCAAATACATTTGGGAATTCATAACAATACTTATTTAAATATCTTTTACAACTCATTGTAGATCACAATAGTGTAGCATGAGCTATTGTTAAATTGAAGGCAAATTATTTGTAAAACAGAAGACAATTAATTTCATGTACCCTGTGTGAAAATGGTTAGAAATTAACAACTCCTGATACTTAAAGCAGACCAAGCATTAATAACCAACCTGCTGAACAGTAAATATAGTTTAAAAATATAGGCGAAAACACACGTTTATATTTTGACATCCAGAATATACAATTTTAACACTTTACCAAACTATTTACAAAATATAAGTAATGTACTATATAGCTGTTCAATAAAGCTGAAAACACAAGAAAAATTTCATGGAAAGTATTTGATGATAAACATAATCTTATAAAATTTGTTTTATTCTAATTCATTTTTTTTTTTTTTTCTTAACCCTGGAGAAATTCACACCTAAGTAACATTAAATACCTGTTTAGTCTTATTATTTACTGCCTGGGACTGAAATGATGGTGTATCTGTTGTTTATTCCAGAATCTCTTACTATAGACAGCCTATTTAGACATAGAAACTCTGTTTCTCTATTTCTTTTATGAAGTGCTTACACTCTTTTCCCTTGCTCAGAAATTTCTGTAATATTTTACAGAATATCTACATGGTTTTACTCTGAGTTAACATCAGATTAAATGCAATTTGCCTTTTTCAGTCTGCTAGTAAAATCACCCATCTGAATACATGTCAAATGACCTAATTACATCTTTTATTATTATTCATAAAGTAACAAGCCACTGATGGTAATTCATCATTTGGAAGACTGTCAATACTGCCAAGGTAATTTTGATTTTTTGTGTGTTAAAATTTTGTGAATATTTTTAATAAGAAATGGAACCTATCTATATATTTATATTGCACTTACTGAAAATTAGTCAAACAGGTAAATGTAAAGTGAAAAATTTATTACCATTATTTACAAAAACTCCACTGTGAAACTACAACATAAAGAACATGAAAAAATCTCACTGCTGCTGTACTGCTATCCCAAATACAGCACTCAGTTTAAATTAAGAGGCACAGATTGGCTGCGACTCATTGAACAAATTTAATATTGTTTAGCTCTCCTGAAATGGTAACTAAAGAAGGAGGCAAGGACAGGGCTGCTGAAACTGATCTAACAAGAATTTTCTGAGAATAATGCACTTTTGTCAAGCCAAGACATGGTATCCATTGAGACAACAGGCTTCATAAATAACAGAAGAGAGCTTCCATTTTCATAGCCAGAGGTTGTACTGCCACAGGCCAAAGAGCCCCCAAAAGCAGTGATAGAGCCCTTAAGTGTCTCCTCAGGAATGTGAATCAGCAGAGACAGGAACAATGTGGCCCAGTCTCTGGCCAGTGTGGTGCCCAAGCACAGATGGAAAGGCAGCGTTTGAGATGGATTTCAAAGTGATCCTGTCTTTTCTAGCACTGAAGAAAGCTTTCGCAGAAAATGAAGAAATTCAGGAAATGGCCCAAAATAACTTCATTATGCTGAATCTCATGGTATGAAGGGTTTGGGACAATTTGACTGGTATCGTTTCATGGTCTGTGTTTTCTCTTTCTTTATCTTGTTTTTTCATGTCATTTTAGATAATATATCTGACATTTTAGTTATTTAAGTAGAGACAATTGTGCATGTGTATTCACACACAAGTAGTACCTATTTGGTTTTATCTTCTGGTACCAGGTTATTCACAGGTGGTACTATTTCAGAATTTACAGAAACATTTTAACATTCAAACTTTACAGGAACAGTTTAACAACTAACCTTAATTTTTATACCAGCATGAAACCACAGATAAAAACCTGTCACCTGATGGACAATACGTGCCTAGAATCATGTTTGTAGGTATGTAAAACATTTATGTATCATCAAAGTTGTTATATCTGAATTATGCCACTGTCCTCCTGTGGGGACATCAAAATTATTCATTTTGCCAAAGGAAAATCTCTCTGCCTCTGTTGTATACTTTGACTCTTGTAAACTTCCTCAGATTACAGATATGTCCTGGAGGGCACTTACTTGGGCTTGAGAGCAAGATGTTTAAAAGTCTGTTGATATCTGGATTTCTTGCTTTTTGTGCTTCTTGCTGGTTCTGTTACAATACAAAGTTTACTGAGAAAGTCAAATATCTGACTGAGCATAGATAGCTATAAAGTGGACATTCCCACAGAATAAATCAGTAGTCAGCGGCATCTAAGGATTTATCCCATTTTAAAGCTGACTTCTGGAATGTACCAAATTAATTATGCCCCAGAGTGCCTGTTCCTTCTCCCTCGCTGTACAGGGAGCCTGCAGTGACTCTGTGATGGCATTCAAAGTTCAGCCCACACTCAGACAGAGAGCAGTGTAGTTACAGCAATCAGTAAATAAATAATAAATTTGGAAGGGTAACTGAGAGAAGAGAGGTTCACAACAACTTGTTCCCACTCTGGCAACATTAGGAATCAGAAGATTTTCATTCTGAAAGCTCTAGGTAAGTTACGATATCTATTGCCATTGATAGGCATGACCCCCACTATGTATGCATCTGGTCAGGTTAATCTCTTCTGATGTGAAGTCAGAACCTGTAAAACAGGATATTTTTCTTTAAATATGAATGACATGCATGTGTAACCTAGCACTTAAAAATAACTAACTAACTAAAAATAACATAAAAATGAGCATTAGCTTTTGTTCAGGATTTCTCCAAGTAAAGAGCAGTTGTTTGGAACAGAGCGTAACAGCCTCGTAATTGCTGCGTTGATGAAATCAGAACAAGGGCTGCCAAAGTAATGCCCTGCCGTCACCCTCAGATGTTGTGGGAATGGAAGGCAGTGTTTAACCCAAACACTTTTTCAGACCCATCTCTCACGGTAAGAGCTGATATCACAGGAAGATACTCCAACCGGCTTTACACTTACGAGCCACAGGACATGATGTTCCGTAAGTGCCCTTTGCCATGTTACTTTGTATTTCATGTGGTAAGCAGCCAGATACCCCTATCCTGATCACTTGTGCTTGAGAATCCATTAGGATCTCAAAGTAAAAATAAATACCATGTGAGAGCATTTAAAATAAATTATAATGGTCTAACCTGTCTAGCAAAACAATCACACACATTGTCCCATTGAATTTATTGGGACCACTCAAGCAAGAAAAATTGAAAGATCATGGGTGAGAACCTTCAGGATCAAGATCTGAGCTATTTTATGGAGAATGGTGAATGTCACTATGTTCAAAATTATCTGACTGTACAATGTAAATAGCCCGTGGTGGGAGGGAATCAGTAAAGAAATGCAGGTGGTTGTGTCCATAGCCCTAACAGCCATATATCAGAAAGGAATGTGATTTTTCAGGTTGAGCCAGTTTTTACTCTATGCCATCTATTTGACACTAATGCAGTATCTCACCACAAATACACACATCACATCTGATTACCGGCTTGCTATTGAGAAATGAGGGAGTTGAAAGGATTCTTGTCAAATCCCATAAGTTAAACATTTTGAATAATGAAATTTTTTACTTTCTGTTTTAGTAGCAGTCTCTAAAATAAAATGTGTGACCATAAATCAGTTTCATTGTGAATAATTTACTAAATCAAACTAGATGAGTTTTTTTTCAATTGTACTAATGTACTTCTAATACATTTTTACAGTTCTTACTTATTTTTTTTCAGTAATAGAGAACATGAAGAAAGCACTACGCCTCATTCAGACAGAACTGTAACCAGCAACAGTGAAATGACCACAACCTCTATGAGGTGAAGCTGCACCTCTCTGTTTCCACTTGCAAATTGAACTTTTACCAAGCACATTTGGTATATCAGATTTCATAAAAAAATGTATGTGTACAACTTGGAGAAAAAAATAGAAAGACTAAAGAACCCATTTGGAAAACATGAGGAGAAATATATTAAACACTTTGAAATTAATTACCTAAATAACTGAAAATAATGGTTTTTAGTGCATCAAATTCAAGCTGTATTTTAGCAATCCAATTGTGACTTTGTTAGGTCAGCTATGACTTCTGAAGAGTAGTTACAAACAATCTTTTTGATGTCTGTTTGCAATTTATTTCATGAGTTAATATATGCATCTTGCCTCCCCATTTTAACATTTATTGCAAGAAGCTTATTAATTGTTAGTGTACCCCTGATTTATACAGTCATTTCTCATTAAAGGAAAGGAAACTTTGCTATCAAATCAGACCGGAAATCTCAGGCTATAAATTTTCGAATAGCTTACATAGGAAAAACAAAACAAAACAAAACAAATCCACAAAAACAAACAAACAGGAAAAAAACCCAGCCATGTTCTGGGCATAGCTTTCCTTTCCTTTTGTTGTGGCAGCTGAAAATGGAAGAGATTGAGCATGCAGTCTCAGTGAGGTGATAATAATCAAAGGGCAGCTACATGTTTTGCTGCAATAAAGATACAGTGAAGCAAGAGAGATGGAAGGAGATAGATCCAGAACTCCAAACCAGAGGCTAAGTGATGTTTATAAATTCTGGAATGAGAAAAATGAGGAGGTTTATCCTAGCTCTTTGCAATTAAATGTCATTTCAGTCAAGGGAAGCTTATCCCAGGTCATTCCCTCTTTTTCTACATTTCACCATAAAGTTGGCAGCTTATTGAGGAAATCTAGACGTACAAAATCTTGGCAAATTTCACAGGATTACTGCATGCAAGGGTGGACACTATTTTTGAGTAAAAAGCTAAAGTCAGTTGAAATGGTTTACTATCCCAGCAATGTGGGGTTTTGTTAGAGCAAAATAGTCAACAATTCACCTGCAGCAGGAGCATGTATGTTATGTTGTTACATGTAAAGCACCTGTGTCATTATTCTGTGCCACCTGTGTTTGCTTGATGCTGCCTCTCTACATATAATAGATGAGAGAAGGATCTCTGCACAAAAGCTTTACTAATTCACAATACCTAGTATTAATATGTCATGAATGAGTTATATTGCACATATCCACATCATCATAATTATGTAAAATTTGGATATAAGCATATATTCCAATGGAGTGGAGATAAATTACCTGTACACTAAGAGAAAAAAAAAATTATTTCAGTAATTAGAAATGTATTGTCTTTACAGTCAGTATGATGTTTTTAACCTATGGGAAAAATGCTAGAAGTAAAATTAAACTGCAAATCTCATTTCTTTGATTTGTGCTGAGCTCTGCTCATTTATGTCTTTATCTGTTCCAGATTTGGCAAGATTTCCCTGTCTGTGGTCATACCCTCTTTTGAGCATGCCAGGGATACTCTGGAGAAAGGAATGCAAACTAGCTGCCAGAGATGACCCAGGGTAGCCACGGCAGCTATTCATCTTCCTTTTCTCCAGGCTGAACAACCCCAGTACTCCCAGTGACTCCTCAGGAAGCTTTGTGCTCCAGACCCTTCACCAGCTCCACTGCCCTTCTCTGGACACGCATCTGCCTTATTGGCCTTCCCCCAGCTCTTACCCAGGAACACTCACCCCTGCCATCACCATCACCAACTCTAGGCCATCAAAACTCCCTAACATATGGGGCCACCCCACTGCCTCCCCTTCCTTGCCTGTCCCTTTTGAAGAGTTCATAGTCATCCAGTGCAGCACTCCAGCTGTGCCAGTCAGCCCACCATATTTCCATGACAGTAACCTACACCAGTTTTGCTGGTTCACAGTGGCTTCCAGTTCCTTCTGTTTGTTGCCCATGCTGTGTGCATTGTGAAGATACACTTCAGCTGGGCTATTGATCCTGCTACCATTTTGAGGGGAGATGCCTTCAGTCCTACATGACCATTCCCAGGCACTTTGTGGTTTCTAACTTCAATAACCCTTGTGTCTTTGCTGCTGCATGGCTCTATCCCTTATTTCCACTAAGAGGGCAGACCAAAGGGCCTCACTAGCACACTGTCCATCAAACATCTGTGTGACACTACCAGACAACTCCAGGGACCCTGGTTTTATCCCCTTCCCTCTTCAAACCCAGTTTAAAATTCTTTATTCCTTTAGTGGATCCATTTGTAAGCAAAGAGGTGGCTGTCAAGAATGCACAAAGCTGGAATCCCAAAAGATTTATTATATAGGACCACAGTCCAGATCTTGCTTGGTCTCAGGAAAGCTTACCTTCATAATCTCACCTCAGTGCTGTAAAAGGAAATAAATGGTAGAATTACCACTTATTGAAATTGTGGAAGAAACAAGTAATTCAAACATTAGTGCTGGAAGGCTACTGTTGTTCTGTTTATTTTTGGTATTTGATATTGAGCCAGCAGACAGGAAACACTATGTGAATTAAACAAAATAACCAAATTTTCAGAACAATGCAATGATCACTGACTTAATTGTCAGACAAAAGCTAGCCTTTAAATTTTCACTGCCATGAATGTTATTTTAACGTGTGAAGAAAATCCAGATTAATTTCCAAAGGTATTATTGATAATGATTGCATCTGTAACCTTGAACAGTATTTCCTGCTGTGGAACTTTGTAACAGTTTTAACAAACCACTCATTCAAGAGAGTAGCCAATTTCTAGAGATGTCACAGGCACATGAATTATTCTATGTCAGATTAAATCTCTTTGCAAAGTAAAGGGGATTTCATCCTCTTCTTTCCCTTCTCAAATCCCCATAAGCACCATGCTGAAATCTGTTCCCAGCCATAGCCTTCAGAAATGGGACTAAGTCTTTGAGATTCTTAAAATCTCAGATCGAGTCCTTTTGGTGGAGCTAGATATTCAGGTAAAAGACACCCTGTATGCACATATTTTTTACTCACAACTTAGTTCAACACTCATCCCTAATTTTAGAGCTGCTACTACATTTCTACCTTCTTTTTGAAGACTCTTTTGCCAGGTAATATTTCTGCTGATGGAACAGAAACTCAGATCTCAGATTAAAGTCTCACTGCTCTTGGATAAAATAGTAAGCCTGTAACTTGTTCAATAAGACACATAACATTATTCTTTCCCCGCTTTTCCTCTGAAATGAATGGCATGATAGTCTGCTCCCTCTTTTATTCCTTGCTTTTCTGTTTGCACACCACACAAATTTATTCACAATATTAGTGGGTAGATTTTTATTTATACTCTTTACTTTCTACTTTCTTAAGAAAAGAGTTCAAATCTGTTCCTTGTGTTCCTTGATTATCTGGAATTAAACCAACCAGGTTAGAGCTGAAGGAAGGGAATGAAACACTGAACATGTGAATGTGAGAGCAAAAGTTGTTTTACACAGAATAAATTCATTCACAGTAAAAGGACTAATAGATGAAGTGAATTAAGATGAGAAAACCTATCTGTGTAGATGGCATGCTTTTACAGAGTTCATAAGCTGTATTTTCTAGGATTAGATGTTAACATTCACATGGGCATAATGCAGTATCACCTGTAGAAATCCATGTTTTATACAAAAAGATTTCTCTGAGTTTTGCATTTGATATGAACACAAGATAGTCTGGGAAGCAAAATTACTTCCACCTGTTCACATATCCGTCTCTGCTTTACTGTCTGAACTTATCTGGTGTAATCAGACCAAGAGTAGACAAACAAACGTGGACTTAACGTCAGTGAGGTGAGGCTCAGGAATCTGAGAACTGACAGAACAGGATCCTCCCCTGTGTATCCGTCTCAGTGCAGAAGGGCGTTCCCCTTTCCAGGCAGATGGCTGATCTATTGGTCTGTGGAGCTAAAACATTTTCCCATGTGCAAATATTTGCACCTGACCAGAACAAAAGAAAAGGCACCATACCTTTGTGTACTGTGGAGGTGAGAGACTGTGGGACACCTCAGCACTTAAAATGCAAAAGTAACTTGATCTTGTAGAATAAGACTGATATAATTAGGCTTGTTTCATGTACTACTCATGTTCTTACCAAAGGCTGACACAGAGAAATTTACGAATGCTGAGGTGTCCTCCACAGGATCAACCAAGTCACTGATTTGCTTCCTTTTGTTTGTTCCTTTTGTCAAATGGATATAAAGATCTACAGTACAAGTCAGAAGGAAATGAATAGTCTCCATGGCAATTAAAAAGTCCAAAACCACTGAATAGAAGGGGAAGAATATTTACTTTTTCATCAGAAAACCTACAGAATTTGCAGTCTATCTATTAATTCATTTTCTTTGCAGCTTAAGATGTTCATGCAATTCATCACTCCATCTTCGGTTGCTACCATATATTGTAAATAACTGACCCCCTCATCACTAAAATTGCATCTATTTCAGCAGACTGTTTTCTTTTATGAGGTATCAGATATTTGCTGATCCCTTTAGAATCAGAGAAGACGCCTAATAACTACAGCTTCCTCTATTTTTGCGTAATTAGGTAATAACCTAAATAAGCAGAATCATCCTTTAGTTCACACTGCTATATCAAGAACTGCATTTTGAAATTTCCCTATAATGCCAACTCCAGTAGATATTCATCAAGTCACCCTTTGTACATGTCTAAGTCTGACCTGTGAGAAAGAGAAAAGATACCATACACAATAACTTTTCAAGTTTATAAGACTCAAAGGACAGCGCTCCAGATGGAGTGTGTTGGTGCTTAGACAGTGTTATTGTTTTAGGAAAGAGCCTAAAATGGCTTCAGAAAGATCTGCTGTGTCTTCTGCTACCTATCTGAGGTATCACTCGTTAATCCTTAGCACACCCTGGCTACATGTCCCCAGGTGATTGTTTGTAAAAGGCTGGCACACAAGAACCCACCCTGCTATTTAGCACTCAGCCAGCTGCAGAGAGACAAGTTCATGGATGTATAAAAACCACCAGCCTCATTGCTTATGTTCACATGCAGGGAAGAGAACAG